ACTTGTGAGTCTTGTTAGTTTTGTCTTGTACACAACGTTCATCCAGTTTCTCAATAAACGGAGTAGTCCTTCATTTTGACTGACTTCGCATACTGAGATTGCTGTGTGTTAATAAGGGAAAGGACCTGTGCTGGACTTTATCCGTCCACAACACAAATAAAACTCAGTTTATTTTAGTCTGATTATTCTAAAATGGCACATCGCATATCGATTATACCATAGAACCTCCCTCTACTGGAGGGTATATGATTATACTAAGTTTTGGCCGTTATTTGACGCGGATTGTTCATATACTAGTTTGCATACGTAAATTAATTAATAGCCGACTTATGTATGTTATTTAAACTTATTGCTGAAGTCGTTTAGTCGACATTTATCGCGGATTACTTAAGAGCCTGGAGATACGATTGTGCAGGCTACACAGAGAGAAGAACGGGGGGTGTCATGTTGCCAATCATTCGACTCATGAAGCATGCGTCTGGATTTATCAGTAATGTTACGGTTGTTTACTTAATTTCAGTTTGTATTGTTCTGTCACTTACTTGGCACATTCTCAACGGTTAGATTAAATCCTGTATAGTAATTATTAGTGTAATAATAGTTGTAGGTCATCCAATCAATCCATACACTGCCCTCAGCGGCGTATATACCATCAGGCAGCACAGATCCACTATGATGGAGAACTCTCGACGAAGCATTAAAAGCATCATTTCCAACACCAATATCTAGGTAATCATAATTTCTCCTGCTGTCAAATGTGTTGAATATTATCCTCAAGTCACCGCTGTCCGATGCAACCACATATATCAGACAGTTATCGTTAATGTCATACTTGTTCGGATGGCCAGGAGATGTAATTATGGCAAGCTCCTCACTGCCCAACATGAAGGTACCACCGCATTCTGTGAAAGTTAAGATAAACAAGTCGTCAAGAAAGTTAAACGTCAAACGACTCCATATTTCCATAGCATATGTATTGAATACACCGAAACAGAATATATATTATTCGGGAACCGGCGATAGCCGAACAAAATTCTTATCTATTGAACAACGATACTCATTACAAGCATGCCCTCGTCTAGTAGTTCGACATTCACCAACACCAATTAATTATGAAGGTTTGGGCTTAATATACTCTGGTGTGTAACGCCCTCATGTTGATCTGGTAACGCCCTCAAGTTGATCCAATATGTCCACGATTAATGTATGCGCGGAAGAAACATGAACTGATGGCTATCGCATGTATTCCCAGGCATCGGACTATTTTCATAAGTGAAATGTTTTTCTGTAATAACAAAATGCTAGAATTTAAAGTTGAATTTGAACTCTTCCAATCTGTGATTAGGGTATCATTCACTGACCAATATGTGAACATTCAAATGTTATGCTTACGAATGTGTGGGGAATTAGTTGCACTATACGAGCTTGTAGAATCAAACAGACAGACATTCAAATAGACGTCCCATTTCTACCTTGTTGATATGGCAACTACGGATAATAAATACTGTACAGGTTACAATGCATTTATTATTAAAGTTGAGGACAAACTTAGACTATGATTGGTATAGTGAAATAACGATCAGTATGGATGGCTTCAATTTTGTACAATACTTGAGGCGGGTACAAATACAACTTAATATTTTAGTTTTACTCCAAAGCTTGTGTCATATTAAAGAATGACCAATAGGTCTTATTTACAAAATGGCCGCCAAGATCTCATTGAGTGTTAGGGCCACGAGACTTGGTCTTTGGTCTTCAAATAGTGTTTCTCTCGTCATCGCGTACACTTTTCTCGTGGTTACAAGTATCAGAAAATACATCGGACAGAATCAGAGAATAAAATACTGTTTGTGGAGCAAAGTAGCACATTAATACTTCGTCGTCGGTCAGACGCATTTCAGACAGGAATATATATATACTTTTGTTGCACTTTTAAGGAAAAGTCAAGGCAAATAACGTAATGCTCCCAGAATGCAATTTACAGTGTTTTATATCACTCTTCATTCTCTAGATATTCAAATTTGCATCAGTATTATGTAGTCTGCATTCTCCGGCAAAGGATTATGGGTAAATCGTGGCATCTACCAGACCAGCAACGTCTGAAATGCTGTCCTACCCAGCACCACATTATTGATCAGTAAGAGATGACAGAATTATGCTCATCTTTTACCGCAATAAAACGACACCAGGTACATGCAGCACTTGAATGAACTGAGACGATTACATAATAAATAATGAATGAAATTGTAGACTTTTAGTGATTTGTGTTGATATTGTGTATCAAACTTAGGATATTATACATTTGTATTCACAATCATCAGACTATGTATTACTAAATAAATAAATAAATAAATAAATAAATAAATACAGACAATTGGTTCGCCAAACATAGATTGTTACACCAATGCAAAATATGTTACACAAGTGTTATGTTACTTACGTTGGTAATCACACTGGTCGAATATTTGCACGTCATCGATAGCCAGGTCACTGTAATAACTAGTTCCCCGAACACCTTCGAACACTATTCGATACCTCTCCGATGACGTATAAGGAATCATGATCACTGCATGCCGCCAGTAGTTGCCAAGGTTACCCGAACGAGTCATAATTAGCGTAGAATTAGTGAAGTCATCAATATAAACGTTGAAAGTTCCCATATTGCTTCCGTACATATGATACCAAAGTTGTAAACACGATGCGTTGCTGTTCTTAGAAATCGCGTACGTGTTTAACCGAGCAATAGAGTTATAGTATGCAGAGCTCGCCTCGATGTACATATAAAACCCTGGAATGGAGATAAGACAATTTACCAATTTGTTAATGCATTTCACCAGGTGTTTATTTGCTACAAAATGTCTGAGTTTTCACATCTTACAAACAACGACTATAGGCCGTCGCACTGTGACGTCATATGTTTACATGTTCGGCAACCAGCATGCGACTGTTTGATAACAAATCCGCTCACTGGTCGACACTGGCTCGCGTTCTGCTGTGACAACGTCGCATGTAAGTTGTTTATTGATTGGGACATGTGTATGTATATTTAATAACATTATCGAAACAGTGTCCTCATTTTATTTCCTGGTGCGCCCGACCACCTGGTCCTTGTCAACCATCCATCGCGCACGACCACCTGGTCCCTGTTGACCGACTTATTTAGCTGGTTACTAGTGAATGTTTGTGTTATATCTGTCATCATTTAGGCTCATGCGAGGTCCTGGACGGAACTAATTACGATATAACCGGGATGTGAGAAACTGAATTGTTCGAGTTACCGTGACGCAATATTTTAAAACAACGCCCACATTTGCGAAACCACATCCAAATTGTAACTCGATGTTTAATTAACAGTTAACTGAACTTCGAGTTGCGGGCAACAATTCAGCATCTCATGTACACGCATTTATGCTATGTGGGGTTGGTTTCGATTGGATCACTATTATATCCAGATTCTTAAAAAAAATGATTTCACATATTTAGGTACTTGTTACGATTCATCGGAAATATAGTTACAATTTATTGTTTTTTTCTTGTATTAATATTTGCACAACAACATGCTTTTAGGCATTTGGCGCCACGCAATAAAGTATCACATGTTGTACATGCAAGTTATTTTAACAACGAACGATCATACATACCTCTTGTCGTTGTGTGGTCCCCTGAGGGGCCTGTACTCCCCGACGGCGTGGAACCAGAAATTCTTGTCCAGTCAAAATCATCCATAGTGTCTTGATCATAAGAGCAAATAAAGTCATCTTCAAAATCACAAATTGTTCCGAAGGGTGGTCTTGTCGGTGCTTCAAATATAGAAAGATTACAATGTCAACTAGACATATTCATTTAAAGGGCGGTGGTCGTCGTCGAGTGCGTACACGCGTTGTGTGCGTTGCTATGTGTCAATATTAAATAAGATGCGGCGCGACAACCGAGCTTTAATAAATCATGCTCTATAAAAATAACTGCAGTAGCAGTTCATTCACCAAGCTATGAAAACAACAGTACTGAATGTCGAAATTGCAGAAGTGTGCACATGCAGTGATTGTTACCATCTGGTAACATGTTTGGTCACTCAAAGGAAAACATATTGAGCACAGAATAACATGGAAAATTCTTGCTCGTAGTAGCCCGTACAGTAGCTCCAGCAAACGATACATTCTTTGTTTGAAGGAAAAATTTATAATAATTTTTAGACTTCACCACTCCACACTAAACAAAAGAAATGAACTCGTATCATCATGCCGACACAGATCAAAAGCCTTATTATGTAACACTTAAACCTGTATGTTTTTTATTTTTAATTAATATGTTAATTTGCGAAGTTTATAATGTATGCTCGTTGGTGCAGTGAATTATTAAACATAAAGCTCCTGATGAGTTAGGTACTTGTACCTTACGAAACAGTGCTGTCGAGTTTCAATATTCATGTAGTTGTGTATTAATTCCTCTATTACCGCATTTATCCGCTCGACATATACTTTGTATTGAGCACTTTTGTTTTGGAATAATCGATTATATATATATATATATATATATATATATATATATATATATATATATATATATATATATATATATATATATATATATATATATATCAATTAGTTTTGGTCTGACTAACGAACAACTTACTTTGTTTCAGTGCGCGTCAGAGGATGGTCATTATTTATCAGCTTTTTAAATAACTAATCCCAGTGAATAAAAACACCGCCCACGCTATCCATAAGTATTGCAATCAAATGGTGAATTAAACTGTATGAATATATCGCGAAATGAATGAGAGACGAGAACACAAGAAATGTTACGAGTGCTTGCGGTCAACCGTAAGTAAAACGCTGAGTTGAGTAGTCCGTGTGAGACGTCACGTGACGTGAGTGGTTGGCAGCGGAGATGGGCTTCTTTACAGCGCATCTATCTGTATTTCGCAGTAGGCACTACTCTGTCACAATGAATACGTTATTATTGTACTTGGAAGCATCATTGACATAATTTGAGGCACCACTTGGTGAGCAACTATTTCAAAATGCAGGAAATAGCGTTTCAGAATGTCTAGATCCCACTGCGAGGTAGGTGAGCAGATCTCGTCCCCCATCGAAAGTAGTAAATATACAGTGTCTTGTATATTGACAATCTAAATAATTATATTTTACGTATTTGAACGAAAGTACAGCGGTGACTTGAATATTTGTTATGGTAAAATAACTCCATTCCTCTATATGATAGAGGGGCTGTGATTTAAGTTTTTCACTTTGTCTATGTATTTGTTCAGCGATGTATTAGTGAATAAGTGTATTTTTGTGTAAAATCCTAAATTATCGTGGTGCCGGAGTCGAATTAGGAGAATTGGTGCGAGGTTAAAGTGGCATTCAGCCTTCGTAATGTTGTTAGAACTCACTATATAGAGTATATTGAGAAGTATTTGGGCTTGTGGAAATGCGCGGATAGCGAGAAAACAGTCCATAACCAGCGGAATCACCAGCGGTACACAACTAACCGACGCCTCCCGATCGTTACCGATTAAACCCATGTCTTTCCGGTGCTTTGTTATGAGAGTCAGTTCCCATCAGCCTAGGGAGTTCACATTAGCAACTTAATAGCTAACAGACTCGGTCGCGTTGAGCGTTGTTACGAAATGTCAACCACTGTAAATCCACTGCTGACACGTCGTTTTTCGGTGATATTAGTAGCTTTGTAATCCCTATATGATCCAGTTTTGGATTCACGACGATTAATTTTTGGTATTTTTGTTATCCTACTTATACTGACAGAAACATGGCTTCTATCAGTTCACGAAACGAGACGATCATCGAGCTGAGAGTCAATTAATTGTTGTTTCATTTCTCACATCGATTATTATTCTTCTGTGACTCTGAATGTTTTCCCGATATATAAATGATACACGATATATTCACGTATTACGTATGGATGAACAAACTCTCAGTGGACAAAATCCTGGTAGGAACATTCCAGTAAGAGAAAATCGCAGTGGGTGAAATCTCTGTTTAATATGCTTAAGGTATAGATGCAGGTTCGCAAGCACACGGATGTCACGAAGTCTTCTCTAAAAAAGTAAAATTCGGAACTCGAAACGAAACGATTTTAAAATATAGGAAAGTCAAACCGTGTGTTTAAAAGCCCTGAGAATATGTGCATGTTGCTCTTTGATTAACACGTCACAATGATTACATATAACAGCGTCCGGATTACTTTCGGAAATTCCGTCGCGTTTCGGATAGTTTTAATTTTCAAAATTTTTGAATATTTATTTGTGCTTTTAGGTTAGTGAGGAGGTTACAATAATTTTTCATTTCACTTTAACACTGTTTTTTACACCGCTCAGACCCCTTTAAAAAGTCACTTCTGGCCATTATAATGGCCACTATTTTCTTAATGGCCAGAATATCAACCAGAATTTTTAAAATGGTGGTTTTAATGACCCATGTTTTTTATACTGGTCAGAATAATTACAATTGCTTTTTAAATGATGGAGTTAATGAACATTTTTTATGGGCAGTATAATGGTCATTTTATTTTTCATTACATACATAAAATGGCCAGTATTTTTGTTCATGTCACCTATATAATGGCCCAGAAAAAAGCCTGCTACCTCGTGTGAGCTCAATATACGTGTGGGAATTCATTTTTCCATGTTTTACTGGCGCTTGCAAGTACACTTTAATGAAGTTTCGCGAATATTGCCTCGATCCCCAGTGAAATTTTATAGTAACGCTGATGCCAGTGACTGCTGGTGGGCTACATAACCTGCGGAGTATTTAGATGGTGTTGAATCATAGGACGATTGCAGTACTGCAACCGGCAAATCAAGGTATGAATTTGTAATTATTTTACCATTTTTTAATGACTTCAATACAATTTTAGATACTTTTGTTGTTGTTTATGTAGCAGGATAGTCTTTTGGGCTTTCGTTTTTGTTTTTCAAAAATTATATAAATTAGAAAAACACTGTGGCATTTGCTCTATGTACTATCATACCTATTTTTTTGAAAAAAATAAATGCGCAAGTTTTTGTTCAGTCATGGCACACTGTGTAAGTACTGTTTCATTATTATTCATAATTGTCAAACAACAAGCTCAAGTAGGTGTTAATGAGGATTAGCTCCTATGTTTGTTAATACAAGAAAAGTATACAGTAAACAAACTTATTTCCAACTCCTGAAATCTGCAAAAAACATCAACGTGAACTTGTTTCCATTCATGGCAATGTTTTCAAATTATTAATAATTTAACTGACTGCAAAATGTTTTTTTTTTTTTAATTTTCGAAGATTATGTATATATTTTTTTCTCTTCAGACAATACTAGCAATAGTGTACTGTACATTGGGAAATCTAATTTAGTAACCATGTATGAACTATATATATTATGCCCATAACGTCAAATACCATACACAATCCCTAGTACTAGTATAGATGATATATTCCCACAGTGTGCAACAGTTCATTTTCTTTGCGCACAAAAAAAAAGTAAAACTCCCATACTCAAATTAACTTTTAATTTAGCATGGATTTAAACTTAATTTCAATTAAATCTAATATTCTTTGCCGTACTTTGAGCCCAATTTGATTTGAATGAGTTGTAGAGATCACTATAAAGGGGAAGTGAACCTTAATGTATGCGCCTAAGGAAGGAATAAACAGAAGACACTTATTGGTAGCATTCACGCAGAGCTCTTTAGCAAAGGCTAAGAGGTCCAATACCTTAGTCTGTGCTAAAAAATGTGCATGAACACAGGCTAAGAAATACTAGGTACAGAGTAAATCCGGTCAGTCCAAAGCCTTAGCACAGGCAAAACAACGCTTAGCTCGGCTAAAAAAAACAACATTTTATTCAATGTTCATTTAGGAGATTTACTACTATATTCATAACTTTTTATTTCGGTGTGCCATTTCCTGCATGACAATCAACGTTAACACATATAGAGAAATTGACTCAAGAAGAAATGATGAGACTCTGTGCTACTTCGTGTTATTTTGCAATTTGCACTTTCAGAATTTGCTTTGGTATTGTTTTCTAACTGTAGAACTAACCTTCCTAGTTACTCTAACTGAGCAATCATAGTTAAAATTCCTGAAGATTTTGCTTATTCTTAATTAGTTTGGGCGTTCCTTACCCCGTGCTAATCATCGTTTCCTTCTGTGCATGAACTCAAACATATGAGATTAGCTTAAATCTTAGCCCGTACTTTGTGTAGCATGAACACTACTATTGAAGATCCAGGGGGCAAATGGGCGAGAATTAAACAAATTATAATAAAGGTGTAATATGCAGTCAGTAAAAGTCCTGGGCGTTTCTGGGTCAGCCAAATTGATCATGGGCACTCTGGCTCAACTTGGACAAAAAAATATTTAGTCTATATAACATTACTTAAATCATAGACATGCTAAAGGGACATGCTACTGTGGCTACCCCTTTCATGTAACCTTAGTTATAATTTTCTACCCAAATTAACATCTAATAATCTGAAACTGATAATAAATCTATGTCAACACCACTGTTACATCTTCTCCTGTTTCATAAGCCAAACACGGCTGCCAGGGTGTAACTACACAAAATGGGACAATTTTGTGGTTATAATATAATCAGAAAAATTTAATTTGATCAAAACTGAATAGCCAAGTCCATTCTATTGATGCGAGTGAAACTAAAAATTAACAATTTTTATTCCACTGTGAAATCAGGAAAGGGAAACAAAAAAGGTAAGTTTTCTCTGCAAGGAAACAAAACTGCCTAAAAATGAACAATGACCTGTCAAAATTTGTGTCGTTATAACAAGTGGATTT